CCATGGTTGCAAAGGTATTTCCAGTTGTTTCATTCTCGTCCTTCCAAGAATTCGTGATTTGTTTCATTAACCCTTCAGGCGTCCCAAGCTTTTGAGCAATGGGTTATAAACGTTTAAAAATGGCTCCCTTTACTCCAGTAGGCACCTGACATAACCACGCAGTTCTGTGACGAAAATATACAGATGTATATCATTATGTCATTTGAAATGTTCTGAGTTGTGAAAGCCTGTCTTCTCATCCCTGCCATGCATCTTTTATTACGACTAGCAACTTTCGATAACTCATATAGCTTCTTTTAGAGCTATTGACATGGTTGTTGCCGAACATTCTCATGTTATGCTATTAAACTTTGTTTCTTTAAACAAAAATAACATTTCAGTATTCCAGTCTCATCCATCACCCTCGTTTTCTATGGGCTTTTAGTTTAATTGTTAATTAACAGTATGATCCAATCCTTGGGAACAATTCCGCCTTCCACCGAATAGAACTCCATTTCTATTTTTTGTACCAACACCATCAAGCAGAGAAAACAGGATCGTTGTAATAAAATTTTAACGGGATGTTATTATTTTTCTATCAAACCCACCTTGAAAAAGATAACAAATTCCGAGTTCTCGCAACAGGACAGGAGTCGAACCTATGAGCTTCCGTACACTGGTCGGACGCTCTGCTACTTTACTGTACCCAAATTCGGAATTAGCCAATCAGAAGCTCTATCTACTGACATGATATCCTACGATATCAAGTCGAAGACGTGATTTTTTAAATTTAATTTAATTTTTTATTTAAACAATATTTCTTCTCGACATTTGCTCTAAGAGCAGATGCTCACCTAGAGAGCTTACGTTGTTTAACATTACAATAACACACGATCAGATAAAGACAAATATAACAAAAGAAAAAGAATTAAAAGGACAGGTAAAAGCAAAATCACACAAAAATTGGAAAAAATTAGGAAAAGCGGTTTGATTGGGAGATAAAGGACTGGACAGATTTAAACAAATTTACATTAATTTAAGGATACTTCCACCCTTCGCGGGAGTCCTTCGGAAAAAAATTCGTACACGCGCCAGGTCCAAGAGAAACGTTATCAAACTATATGTCAATAGAAAGCTTAATAACTGTAGTTTTCGATAAAAATATAATTTAAGCCGACTTTTTTCTTTACGAAGTGTCAGGAGCCGGTAGAACCCCAAACGTCCGAGTGTTGTGCGATTGAATTTATCGGGTATCGAATGCCGCCGCATTAGCGAAATACCTGTACAGTGTTGTTCACAAGGCATCAATCAAAAAAACCGTGTCAGGCTTTTTAGAAATTCTGATTGGTTATTTAGATTATCCTTGTCCAAAGTTGGAGTGGCTAAAAATATACGAGATGTGTTGCGTAAATGGTCGCCACGGGAAAAATATTTGAAATATCAAAATTTCCTGACACAGTTTTGTTCGGTCATTACCCCTGTAATGTTTTGGCCAAATTTGACGAAAATCCGTTAAATCTACATACCCTATAAATTCGTTCAAAGTCGATATATTCTTCCCAAAATCAAATGCGAGATTTCAGCTCATAAAGATTCGTAAACAAACCCGCGACTCCACAGGAGATTATATCGTCTCATGACACCGCGAGCCAATCAAGAAACAGGATCCCGTGGCGTCAACTACAATGGAACAGAATTTCCCGGGAAAAGTATCGCAATGCCGTCACGTTTGCTTTCTCGCTGCGGCACGTTCAATGTGAAAGAATCGATCTGCGAAATGGAGAAGGTAAAAAACTTGGGGACTCGCTCCAGAAGGCCGCTCCGATAATTTTTCATTCAATGTCAAGCTTGGACAGCTTGAAGGATCTTGGCCGAACCAAAGGATCCTTTGTCGCTTTTCCGCTAGCTCTTGTTTAATTTCTTCAGCGAAAGGCTTTTTCAGCTTGCTTCTTCGGTCCTGTTTTTTTTCTTGACTTTTACCCAAGGACTTCTTTCGTTTTTAGACTTTTTCATCGCATTGTAAACATTCCCGGCGCGGGACAACTAATTCCACGTGAGAATTCAAAATGTGAGTGAAATACGAGCAACGGCGTGAAGCCCTTAGCCGCGAAAATTACCCAGGGGAGTCTTCGCATTTGAGAGATTGTGACACCTTTCCACCTTGTTGTGAATTATTAATTTTATTTGAAAATACCTTTTCCGAAATAACTCGCGCGCTTTTCAAGATTTTAAAAAAAAAATTTCTGGGAAATGCTTTAGCAAAAATACTTAACTTCAATCTAGTCAAATAAAAATAAAATTGATTTTTTTTCACTCTCGAAGGGTGGAAGTATCCTTAAAAGTCGATATCAGGCACACCATTTAAAAGCCAATCATTTGTTTTCTTGTCAGATGCTAACAGCCACCCATCTCTCAACCAGTGTGCAGCGGAGGCAAACAAAATAACGCACAGAGCAGCAAAACTTGGGCAGTACAAAAAGTTAATGTTTAGCATCTTCGATAGGTGCATCACAAAAATGTGCATATTGTTGAAACAGAGCAATTTTTCTGAAAAAGGTCATGATTTAAGGCCACTAAAATTGAAATATTGACGCTGAACGATCCCCAACATAAAATAAATAATTACGAGAAGGAAATCCCAAACATTTTAGAAGATTAGTCTTAAAAGTACCAAGAGAAGAGGACAGGCGCATCTGATATGCCCCATATCAGGACAGTTTCGGAAATAAACGACATAATTCTGCGCAGATTAGAGCTTGAATTTTCCAAACAAAATTTTATGAAATTACAGTTCAAACTTAAAACAGGGAAAATGTTGACGAAGCGAGTTATTCGAGGGAAATTTACGAAAGAAAAACTAAGCTAACGTCCGCCCCAAAACGCGGCTGCTGCACTAAATGCGTTGCGTCTCATACTCGCGGTTGTCTCAAAAATCGTCTTCAAACGATGACATTCGACGATTTTTTTTTTGTCAAATTCGCAACAAGAGAAGGAAAAGAGGAAATTTAAGGTAAGATGGTGGAAATTTCTGAACGTAAACAGTTCATTTTCAGTTCATTATCAATCCATAAACAATCACACATCGACATCGACGATCGGAACGCCTGACACATTTTTACTGAATGAAAGTTGTCTTCGCGTAAATAATAAATCGAATTTGGGTACGGTAAATACCTAATCGTACCTTTTTGGTACGCTTCGGCGACATATCAGTCTCGTTGGGTCTCGCCATGGCTCAAGCAAACTCGCCTGACATGCCGCCCGAAACTGTACCAAAAAGGTACGATTAGGTATAAGAATACTCTTTAATCCCATTGTTTTATACTAAGCTTTCACCATCATTTCTTTCCATACATATCTCACATATCGACAAAACTAATCCTAGCAGTTTGCGGGAAGTTTGTCACATTTAAAGATGATTTACAGACCGTACTGCGCAATTTCCGCCTGCTATGTTTATGAGTCGCATACAAAGGAATGTCAATTCTAGCGAAAATAGAAATTGTTGTACAAACTTACATTTTTCTTCATTATTAACGACTAGATATCCTTGCCAAAACAATAATAACGAGTAGAAGAACCTCGGCGTTATCCCAACGACGTTTCAGCTCATCGAGCATTCAGGAACTCAACAACCCATAATGGCGGACTCAAAAACTTCGTGTACGCTATTACCAAAAGTGTAAACGTATCAACAAATTCAACACAAACCCTGACCATGCGCAGTACGGACTGAAAATCATTTAAACCTACAGTAGTTTCATGGCCTAAGCTCCCACGAGTCTCCTGTAGTCTCAGTGGTAGAGCGTCCCACTGGTGTGGAGAAGGTCATAGGTTCGACTCCTGTTGGGAGAACTAGGAATTCGTTTTCCGAGTAGCTTGTGTCACTGAATAAATAATATATTTCTCATTGTGTTTCTACAAAGCCAAAATTTACCACCATTTCTTTCTACGCAAACCCACCTCGTTCGCAGAAAACTGACTCTCGTTGTTGTGCCCATACTGCCCTTGCACACAAATCTTCCCACGTAGGATTCTGACATCATTAATTGCTCTCAGTGGAAGCTTGATGCCACGTCCGGTTTTCCACCAAACATGAGATTCTACAGTGACATCAAAACTGCTCTGTTGATTGCCAGACAGTTCGTAGTCTTCCCCAAGACGAACAGAAACTTGTAGACTTTCATTGTTGTAGATACGCTTGTCTGTCGGTCCGTCAGTAGAACGCACCAATCTGAATCTATCTATTCCCAGTTGCACCAAGGCTGAAGCATCGTGTTCAAACGTAGTATGGTTCATGGAAGATGTCTTGACTCATAAACACGAGTGCAAGTTCAAATGAGTCCTCTTTAAACAACACTGACATTGTATAATTGAATGGAAACAGGTTCAGACGCGATACGACGTCTTTGGTAAGAATCCGAGCCACTGTCAGAAGGGTGGCAATGAGCGAGAATCGTTCAACTTCAATACTCACTTCTTTCTTTGTAACATTGATGATCGCGTTTGAGTAATGTCCTGCCAGGAAATCTTTCCGTCTTTAGCTTCTGTCCCATGTAAGACAAGAACGTCCTCACACTTGAGATTCCCTTCTTCGATCTTTATCTTGGTTGTCAATGTGACAGGTTTCTTAAAAAAATGGCCATTTGGTTGAAGATTGATGATAGGTCCACCAAAACATGACGACATTTTCAAGTTCCCTTTGCACTATCAAACCGTAGTACTTTACGGGGTCCTCCAATGTTATCTTTATAGACACGGGATTGTCAACTGCTTCAGGGGGGTATACGAGTTGGACACCCTCCGCCTTCACCATACCACCTTGACTGGTAATAATGCCGGATGCAGAGTTGGTTGTCGTGCAAAGTTGACTTTCCTTTACCTTCTCTGGCAAGACACCTTTTGGCGATGAAAGAGATAAAATAGTGGTTGACCAGAGTTGAACTCTAATGACAACCAACTCTCGACAACTCTTATAGTTCTTATGCTCGTTTCGCCAGGGCTTAAAAAGCTCTAGAAATTACGTACATCGAAAGAACGTACATTTTTGTATACACTCTTTTTTTTTTATAAGAACGTCTAATTTTCGAGCTGAGGCTGAACCAAGACCGAATGTTCTTAATTTTTGGGCGATTTCAGCCTGAGGTTCTTAGGTTACATGGTATATAATTTCACAAAAAAGATTCGAACGTGACCATGAAAATAGTATTAACATTTTATGTGATAGAAACTCATGTTGTTACTATAAAAAATGTGCATTCAAGTATTTTGATCTGATTTGAACTGCTTATTCACTGAGTGTTACATTTTGGAATATTGTATTCAGAGCTCGATGCAAGAAACAAGTGAATAAAAATGGCTATGTTAGCATGTTCTTAAAATGTTGGTCAATCTCAGCCTCAACGTTCTTATAAAAAAAGGTTCTTATAAAAAAAAAGAGTGTATCGTCGTGTAGAATCGTATCGTAGTGGATGAAAACAATTAACGCAATGAGTAAATACATAGGAATAACCCTTTGAGAAAATGGAATTTATGTCCTCTTTGACACAGGATACAGTCGAATCCCGATTACGCGGTCACCCTCGGGGAAATGGCAAGTGGCCGCTGAACGGGATTTCGTCAGAAATTAGCATAAGGTGTGGTATATAAACGTCACTTTATCTGAATACAACACGCTTGGAGGCTTGTGATAACTGTTGCTTGAATATTTTAATCATTCGTCACCTTCAATTTCGGACTCTTATCTGTCATCAGCTTTTTCAAAACAAGGCCAAAACTACGTGTATTAGATTCTTGGTGGCCGCTTAATCGGGGTAAAAACAATAGGAAAGCCCTCATCGGGACGGCCAAAAGGTGGCCGCAGTCGTTTAATAAGGATTTTATTTACAGTATTATACTGACAATAATTTCGGGACTTTGATAACAGGCCGCTTAACCGGGGGTGGCCGCTTAAAAGGTGACCGCTTAATCGGGGTTCAACTGTACTGTGGACGCCAGTTTCTCGGCAATCAATCGACAAAATCATTCCCTAAAAAACAACTGCAAGTTACACCACGTTTTCTTGTGGTCATGTTTGGTGGTTGTAGCTGTGTTATACGTTTTTTATTGGTCTGGGCTGATGAATAGCTGACGAAGTCATGCTATACTTTTAATTCATATGATCTGCAAACTTGAAAATGACAATGACAAAATAAATAAAGATAATTTCTGAGAGCATTGTGAACCATATTTTCATAAAAATTGAGCAAACGTGAACTAGATGTCATACCTTCGTATTTCAATGTACCAGTCTGTGAATACTCTGTTTTTCTTTGTTCTCCCTGTAACACAAAGAGATAACTTACATTTAGCTGTAACTATATTCACAGTGAGTATACTAGATACGTTTTCGGATGTCCAGCGATCGCAATAAAGCCATCGTTTACTTAATGTTTTGTTTTATTACTATACAACCGCATTTCTTGTTACACATGTAGTCAATATCAACTAGTAAAAAAGCATTTTAAATTAGCCGATTGTAGTATGTATATACGGAAACTACAGTTGAATCTCTTTACAACGGGCCATCCTGACCAGGGACAGAATTGGCCGGCCGTTATAGGAGGTGGCCCTTTAAATTCAGGGATGGGCGCGCGGTCGGGGCGAAGAAACCTGGTCGCTGTAGAGAGGTGGTCGTTATAGGGAGATGCTTTAGGGGAGCCGTTGGACTGTAATATAATTTGCCTTTATCAGGTCCATTTTCAAGTTTGAAATGAAAGAAATTAATAGAATTCGAATTTTCAAATCTTTCTTTCAAACCTAAATGAAATTATCTAAATTAACCTTACCTCAAATGTCACGTTATCTCCAATCAGCATGAAAGGTGCCCAGTCGCAAACCTCAGGATAGCCGTTAGATCTCATCCACTTCATGGCTTCGTGAATGGATTCACTGGCACTTTCTCCACGAACAAGGTGCTCGTAGAAACGACTCATCAACTGCTCTGTTGCTATGTCTCCCAGGGTCCACAGTGCCACCAACACCGAGCGTGCACCGGATCCTAAGAACGCTCGAGCGATTCCAACAACTCCCTCGGCTCTGATCTGACCACGTCCACTGTGACAACAGCTAAGTACTACCAGTTTGGCCCGCAGTTGAACTTGTGAAATGTCGGACATTGTCAATAGGTAGTCTTCTTCTTGTGGAATCTTTTGAGTAGTGCGTAACGGGGTAAGAGCAATTTCTCCTCTTTCGGCGTTACCATGGGCAGAAAAATGTATCAAACTCACTGAGCTAATCCTTTTAAGTACCGCCTGTATAGTTGCCTGCTTTCCTAGCAAAGGCTGAACACCCAGCAGTCGTCCAATCATCTCTGCTTCTTTTCCTGCATAAGGCAATGGGACGAAGTTCGTAATACATCCCTTGTAAAACACCCGACCAACCTCAGGATTCCCCACTATCAGTGCACCAGTTTGACTGTGATAGTCTGCTGGACTGTCCTGAATGAGCTTCAGAGTCGTCAAAGAAGGAACGATGCGAATCCTGAAAGTCTCCGATAAATACTTCCCACTTTCGTCAGTTAATGCTGCAAATGGAACTTGGTGCAAGGAGCGATCAGGAACGATGATGATTTCGGGCTCGTCAAGTAAGTCAGCCACAGGAGCGATGATCATTCTGTAAACTTCCAAATTAGGAATATCGGAAACTTGGCCTTCTTCATTAGCCTCAACAAGTCGCAAAGCTGATGGGCTCTCTTGCTGGGATGATTTCAATTTGGGTTGAAGGACGATTTTAGAAAAAAAATCATCAAAATCGGAAACTGATTCGTCGGGAGAAAGTATTCATTGGCTGATATTTTTCGAAACGTAATGACTCCACTTGTTCCGAGAATCCACAAAAAAATGATTTGACTGTAATAAGTGATGTATAAACAAGTACAGTTACTTTCTTTCTTCATGATACTTTCAATGCCAACCCACGATTGTGTATTAGCTGAGATTTGATTTTCAGCACAGTACTGAGATATCATCAAGTCTGCCAGGGCTCTAGCCCGTCCTAGCTCTACAACATAAAGAGCCTTAACAGTATCCCCAGCGGCGCATAACAATGAAGCAAGATGTTGGTAGGGGGAAATGTGAAGATCTGAAAAAGATATCTTAAATTGATCGTTGTCTACAGAAATATCTCGCAAATCTTCGCATTTTTCAATAGCTTGAAACAGACAGCGAAAACACTTCCTGAATTGGCTTTCTTTGCGATAACTTCACAAATGAAAGATTGCAATGGCAGGATAACTCTTTTTCGCGGTTTCCGATATCTTTACTTATACAAAGTGCCTTCTAGAGATTTTTCTTCAGCCTTGTCATATTCACCAAGATATTGAAACACATGTCCAAGGTTCAGGAAACATGCTGCTTCTCCTTCTCTGGCACCGATGGCTTTGCTGATCTTAAGTGCTTGCTCAAGATATTTTTTTGGCCTTGAGATATTCACCGAGAGAATGAAACACAGTTCCTAGGTTTCCGTAATCTGCTCCTTCTCCTTTTCTGTCACCGATGGCTTTTCTGATCACAAGTGCTTTCTCGAGATATTCCTTAGCCTTGAGATATTCACCGAGAGAATGAAACACAGTTCCTAGGTTTCCGTAATCTTCTGCTTCTCCTTTTCTGTCACCGATTGCTTTTCTGATCACAAGTGCTTTCTCGTGATAATCCTTAGCCTTGAGATATTCACCGAGAGAATGAAACACAGTTCCCAGGTTTCCGTAATCTTCTGCTTCTCCTTTTCTGTCACCGATGGCTTTTCTGATTACAAGTGCTTTCTCGAGATATTCCTTAGCCTTGAGATATTCACCGAGAGAATGAAATACAGTTCCC